TGGCTAATGGCTATGTCATTGGACTCCCACGTGGTTCAAGTCCCAGACCTGATGGCTTAAATTCACACCAGGCGCGTGTGCGTGTGTGCCCAAAATCCCGAGAGGAGAATGGAGGAGAAGGGATTGCAGCATGGTCCCCCCCCCGGGGAGTAATTTCTCACTTTCTGTCTCTGTCTTTCTGGCGAACACATGCGTCCTATAGCAAAAACCTCTAAGAAAATGTTCTTTTTATATATTTCCTTTAATTTTGTTTAAAAATAGCACTGAGAACCAACAATAAAGCAAATTAGGCATAATAAAAATAAATTGGTGAATTTGAGTAAGGGTATAAGAAGTTCCCTGTATCATTTTTGCAACTTTCAACAGGTTGAATATCCCCTATCCAAAATGTTAGAGACTCAGTGTTTTGAATTTTAGGATTTTGAGGGGGCTTGTGGTGTACACCTAAACTCGTAGGCACTTGAGGCAGGATGACTGGAAGATGAAGGCCGGCATAGCCAATACTTGTCTCAGGAGCTGGACAGTGGTGCAGTGGTAATGCTAAGCTCTGTCATGCTAGACTTACATGGGAGGGCCCCAAGTTCACACCCCAAGACCTCCCTATATACCCACAGGGTGCATGCGTGTACTCCTGTGATCCTAGCTGGCTGGGAAGGCTGGGGAGAGGATCTACGTGTGAAACCCTGCTGAGGATGCTTGTTTTTCCTCTCTCAGTCTCTTTCTCTCATGAAAGACAGAAATTTTCTCGAATTTTGAACTATTCACATATATATAAAGATATGCCTTATGGAGGGCCTCCAAGTCTAAGCTGAAATTTATTTATATTTCATGTGCTCCTTATACACAAAACCTGAAGGTAATTTCATGCAGTATTTCTGTACTGCACTGTTTTGACTGTGACCTGCCACATGAGGTCATGTATAGGATTTTTTATTTGTGCCATCATGCTGGTGCTCAAAGTTTTAGATTTTAGAGCACTTCAGATGTTGGAGTTATGGATTAGAAATGCTCAACCTATATAAGCTTGAAAACTTGTAATTAAACAAAAAGTCATCAAAAAATAAGAGTAGTGGGCCAGACCCATAGCACAGCGATAAAGAGCTGCTCAAGGGAAGCTGTATCTCTTATGGTCACCATGGTAGCAATTCCCAGCCTGGTCCACCACAGACTCTCTGGACATGCACAAGTGCCCAAGATCCTACAGGACTAGAGAAGGGGATTGCAGTGTGACCAGACCCTAACCGGAGTGCTTCCCTTTCTTTCTCACATGTACTCATACGTGCTTTATCATGAATAAGAGAGGAGAGACAAAGGTCTCATTATTTTAAATAATAATAATAATGGGACCAGCAGTTGATGTAATGCTTATGTTGTTGGACTTTCATGTAGTCAAGTGCGGTTCGAGTCCCAGATCCAGTGGCTTAAACTCACATCAGGTGTGCGCGCGTGGGTGCGTGCCCAAGATTCGGAGAGGAGAACGGAGGAGAAGGGATTGCGGCGTGGGCATCCCCTCTGGGGGGTGATTTTTTGCCTTCTATCTTTCTGCCTCTCTCTGTCTGTCTGGTGAGCACAGGTGCCCTATAGCAAAAACCTCTTGAAATAATAATAATAATAATAATAATAATAATAATAATAATAATAAAGAGAGTATTAGCAGAAACAACCTTCACAGGTTATTTTTAAAAACAAATCATGTATTTAGCTAATGCTAGGCACTTAGTAAACACTCAGTAACAGTTAGTTTTTTGTTTTGTTCTTTTTTTTGGGAGAAGTTTTTTTTTTTTTGCAATAGGGCATGTGCACTCGCCAGAAAGACAGAGAGAGACAGAGACAGAAAGCAAGAAATCACCCCCCAAGGGGGTACGGCCACGCTGCAATCCCTTCTCCTCCATTCTCCTCGGGATCTTGGGCACACACGCACATGCGCCCAGTGTGTTTAAGCCTCCGGGTTCGGGACTCGAACCGCTGTTGGCTACATGGGAGTTCAGCAACATAGCCATTACGCTAACTGCTGGTCCCAGTAATAGTTTTAAAGGTGAGTTCAATTTACTTAGCCAAATTAAAGCATAGGTAAATGTACTTAGCCTATGATTTAAACAGGTATGCATAAAAGGAAGACAGGAAAAAATTAGCAAGGGTCTGAACAAATCTTGGTTTGGGGTATCTGCTCTGAAATTTCAGTTCCATTTTTCCTCAAATGGCAATAATCTTTCACCTGCAAACCTGTTACGGTACATAACAAGTCCAGGGCCTTTTTGTAGTTACAAAGGTAGACAGGTAATCTGCAACACAGTGAGGTATTTTTTATTGGTACGCCTTATTTATTATTTATTAGGGCTTTTGCCATAAGGTGCACGTGCTCACTGGAGAGAAACAGAGGGAGACGGTAGAGGGAAAGTGAGAGTCGCTTTCCAGGGGGGATAGCCACACACAATCCTTTCTCTCCCACTGTCCTTCTGGAACTTTGGACACAGATGCACATGTGCCCGGTCTGATTTTCAAGCTGCTGGGTCCGGGAATTGAACATTGGTTGGTCATGTGGGAGTCATGAGTCATAACCACTACACTACCTGCTAGCCCCAGAGTTATTTTGTTTTATAAATACCATTTTAGAATGGAAAAAATAGGCACACGTAAGAACATTGATGGAGGGACCAGCAGATGGCATAACGGTTACGTTGCTGGACTCCCACATAGTCAACTGCAGTGGTTCGAGTCCCAGACCCGGTGGCTTAAACTCACGCTGGGTGCATGTGCGTGTGTGCCCAAACTCCCAAGAAGAGAAAGGAGGAGTCAGGACTGCAGCATGGCCACCCCCCAGGGGGTGATGTCTGACTATTTACCTTGCTCTCTCCGACCAGCACACACACCCTATAGCAAATGTCTCTCTTAAAAAAAAAAAAAAAAAAAAAAAAAGAACCTTGATATAGTCTTTGCATTACACATACATACCTCTTATCATGTTTGAAAAAAAGAACCTTGATATAGTCTTTGCATTACACATACATACAGCTTATCATGTTTGTCTCAAGTTCCCCATCTGTCATAGACAGGAACACAAGCAGGGCTAATAACAAAATCACAGGAATACTTGAAGGACTAGCAAACTATACCTGTTAAGAAATGATCTAAAGCCAGCACTGTTAATCTGGAGTGTGTAGCAAAAAGGACTTCACAACTTGATATAGTCTTTGCATTACACATACATACAGCTTATCATGTTTGTCTCAAGTTCCCCATCTGTCATAGACAGGAACACAAGCAGGGCTAATAACAAAATCACAGGAATACTTGAAGGACTAGCAAACTATACCTGTTAAGAAATGATCTAAAGCCAGCACTGTTAATCTGGAGTGTGTAGCAAAAAGGACTTCACAACAGTCAAGTAGAGGTAACTATACCAGAGCATGCACTCTGCTGGCCAAACGCCAAGTCAGAATCCCATGCCCGCCCCCCCTTAGAATTCTACCTTGTGAACTAAAATAAAGATTAAATGGGGACCAGCAGTTAGTGTAATGGCTATATCACTGGACTCCCACATAGTCAACCGTGGTTCAGGTCCTGGACCCGGTGGCTTAAACTCACGCCAGGGGTGTGTGCATGCGTGCCCAAGATCCTGAGAGGAGAATGGAGGAGAAGGGATTGCGGCGTGGCCATCCCCCCTGGGGGTGATTTCTTGCTTTCTGTCTCTCTGTCTCGGTCTGGTGAGCGCAGGAGCCCTATAGCAAAAAAAAAAAAAAAAGATTAAATGTATCACTGGGGTAATAGCTGACACAAAAAATATAGTATTATTTATACTAAAGATTATCTACTAACAAGGAAGCAGATAGCATGGAGGTTAAGGCTCTTGATCCCACATGGCCAACTGTGTGGTTCAAGTCCCGGACCTGGCAGTTTGAAAACACAGCAGGTGCGAGTATATGTACACCCAAAAGCCCAGGAGAATGAAGAGAAGGAATAGCAATGTGGCCATCCCCCCAGGGAGTGATTTCGAACCCCCCTTTCCCGTCTCTCTCTAGTGGTGCCCTAAAAGATGATCAACTCTCAAACAAATAGTTGTAAAAAATGTGAGTATAACCTTGGGCAAGTCATTTCATTTCAAGGGCCCTTTATTTCATCCCATGTAAATGGGAACAGTAATAGCACCTACCTGGCAGGACTGCTGTGAGAACAAAGAGAGTTATAATTTGCAAAATGCTTACAACAGTATCTATACAAATACACTATAAATAGTTAACTACTATTATGTTCATAAATAACTGGCCCAGCCTTGGTGGCACAAGCAGTAGATACTCAACTGCAGTGCTGGAAGCCACATAGCCGACCACAGGTTCAGATCTCCAGTTGGCTTGAAATATACCAGGTGTATGCATACAGACCACAGGTGCTAACAAACTGGAGGGCCGGGAAGGGGATTGTGACATGACAAGACCCTGTGAAGACTGTCTCTCTGTCTCATTCCTCTTTGCGCCCCGCCCCTACCAGTGTGTCTTTACTACCGTCAATTTTTTTTTTTAAGTTTATAAAGAAACAGGCCAGCCAGCAGTATGGTGGTTAAGACACTGAATCCCAGAGCCGAATGCATGGTTTGATTCTTGGACCCGGTGGCTTGAAAAACACACCAGGTGCTCATATGCACACTCCCAAAATCCTTAAAGGAGGAATGGGGGAAAAGGGATTGTGATGGGACCATCCCTCGTGGGGAGTGCTTTCTCATGCTCTCTGCCTCTCTCTGGTGAGAACATACACCCCCTGGCAAATTTTAAAAAAACAAGTTTATGAAGAACTAAGGTCTTACAAATACTATAGTAAGCAGACTTTTTAATTCAAAATTTGAGAATGAGGCACAAGGAAACAAACCAAAATATATAGCTTTAAGTGGTACTGGTTAGAAAACAGACGCTACAGAGAAAATCATTAAATGCTGGAAAAGGTTATTGATAAGGATCACTACATTACCACTGAAGATTCATAAGAACATAGGATAAATTTGTATCTACCTGGGATGACTTAAGTGGGATATTGACTGAAGCTGCAGGGTAAACTACACATCCTTCCAAGGCCTCTTTCCATCCAAAGAATCTATGATTAACCAAAAAAAAAAAGTAGTTATGTAAAACCTACTTCTTCAAATCTAAACACATAAATTTAAAAGCTTTTTACTTAGCTTGTAATGAAAATAAAAGTTTAATTTCAGCAGAATTCGACCTGATGAACAAATGAAAATAAAGCTGAAATTCATCACTTGAGTCCTTACTGATAAATAGGATTATCAGAATTTTTTAAATGATCCGTTTTCAGTTTTAGAAATATCAACTGAGAAACAGCCACCCACAGAGAGGCAGTGGTCTGGTCCACTATGGCAGTGTATAGAGACAAAAGACAGGACCCGATGAACTCTGCCATGACTAACCTTACTGCTTACAGTTTGTTCTTTACCAAGACATCAAGTTTAAAACAATTACATCATAAAAAGGGCAATACATACACAGGGTAAACCTGCTAATAACATCAGCCTAATCCCATCTACACGGGAATATGCACACACCCCTCACAGAAACAGGGGCCTCATAGCAAAGTTATTCTTTATCCTGAAAGTTACCATTTTCAGACTAATCCTCTTATGGCTTAGCAAAAATAGTATTTTTTAAAAAATCCTCTGTTTAATTGATAAATCAGTCGAGTCACCTTGAACACCTGCTTCACAGAATCCAGGAAACAAACCAGGACCTAAATGCCATGCCACTAACACACCAGGTGAATCCAGAGAGTTACAGTTCTAAATAATTCATATATATTACTGTCCAATGGGTCTGATACCCGCAAATCAAAATCTAATCTCTGCTATTATAAATGCCATAAAACTAATCTTTGCTCTTTATACGAATACCCACAAAACAATGAAAATCCAAATTTTACACAGCTTTGAAGGAAAAAAGTATCTTTGTGTATCTGAACGAAATAAACCCAAATGAGATTTTCAGCAGTTTGAGTTTCTTCCTAAGTGAATTATATATCATCCTTTGACATCATCAAATGTGAAGTAAATATGCATATTTTTATCCAAATGTAAAAGCTTCACAACAAAAAAACATTAAAAAGCTAAGAATAACCTAAATTGTGTCCTGTACTCATCTTCTTTTTGATTTCTTAGTGTCTTAAAATTTAAAAGCTTTGAGAAAATGAATATAAATGTGGCCCTTTATTCACAGCCCTAAAACATGAGGCAGTGGAGCTGTCCAAGGCCCCAGCTTGCCATATTATCTTACAATTTTTTCATAAAAGCTACTCATAAATAAAGCCGAAAAGATAAGTCCACCACTCTAAAATCCTCTACTACTCTACCATCCTCGCTTTCTTTATTCCATTTTGTTACAAGAGTTAGCTACCACACTATGAGATGTCCCACACAAAGCTAAAGGCAGCTTAAGGGAACTCAAAGCCCTCACAGCCCTGACTGAAATGTCTCCCCCAGTAACTTCCCTGGTTGGTTATTTGCCTTTCTCTGAAATGATTTTTCACTATTCTCCAGCCACTGAAAACTAGCAGAAACCTGGCTGATTGATTGGAACAAAAAGATGCTCATCTTTAACCTACAATGGTAAGCTCTCCATTGAAAATGAGGATGCTGTGGGTAAAGCGCTCTGCCCAGTGCCCGTCAGGTACAACCCGGCTACACCACCAAAACTGCCACACCACACAGGCACATGGTGAATGAACACAGCCTTTTCTCCCATGATCGGAGCGCTAGGGAAACAGAGGTCTTCAGCACCCAGAGTTGACCCTTTTTATCATTCACATAAGAACAAAATCAAATCAAAATGGGTCTCATCTTTTCAAAGTGGACATGAAAAGTCAAATTATCAATAAAAGCCATGAAGAGTGGAGGCGGATTCCAGGCTCCTTAGAGAGAGAGAGAGAGGTTTCTGGAATTTTTTACTTTTAGGGACAAAAGGACTCACAGTTTCAACACATAATTCTCTTCTCAACAAAGAATTCCTACCCTGCAAACACTCTCCCCACCCCTGCGCATTCACCCTTACTTTTTAGTTTTCACCCCTGTCTCCAGGCCCCTTCCACTCACCATGGTTCCTCCTCTTCTGCACCAGGGGCTCCCTACACTTGACCCTTGGCTAGAGCACTTGTGCCCTGACCCATGCAGACCTAGTGGGGCACCCCCTCACAGCACGCACACTCGATTCCGGGCCTGTGCGGTCTATCCAGTTCTACACCCACCGGGACTCCCCCAGCTTCCCTAACCCCCTGCCCTGCCCTTCCTCCCTTTCTCATCCTTTAAATTCTGGGGCCCATCTCTTCCTTGGCCCTCTCACCATTTTCTTTAGTCCTCTCTCCTCGCCTCGCTGTGTTTACCTTGGATCTGGCTGAACCTTCTCAATTAACCCAATTCCCCAGTTGCCCTTGTCCCAGACCGCCATCACTTTTTACACCGCCTCTAGTCTCCTTTCCGCTTTTCAGGTCCCCGAATTGTCCTATAAACGCCCATTTCTCGTCCCTATTCGTGCTCGCCCGCCCGCCACGCTCTCATTCCTAACTCCACCGGGTTCGAGTCCAGGGTCTCAGCTGCCTTCCCGCACGTCCCGGATTTCACACCCGTGCCCACCTAGCCCATGCCTCTCAGCCCTCGCCAGCCGTCCCCACAGCACCGCCGGTCCTACTCCTTCAGCTCATCTCGCTCTGCACTAGTTCACACCCTTGTCACGTCTGGCTCTTAATCACTCTCTCGCTCCTACTCCAACTATTACCCCAGCTCTGCCCCTCCTCGCCTCCACTTCCAACTCTCACCCCAGGACCCTCGCCCAACACCAGCCCCCGAAGCTCTCCCCTTCACGCCCCAGCTCTAGCAGCTACCCTCTCAGGATCCCCCTTCCCGGCCCTGGTCTTCCAACCCCGATTCCCTGCCCGGCTTCCCTAACGCCCACCCCGGTGTCGCCTTTCCTACCTCCCGGGCTGGCTTCGCCTCACTCCTCCTCTCCCTGGCTTCTAACCCTTTCTCCCCTTAATCCTCCTCATCTCGTTCTTAGCCGGGTCCCCCCCAGCCGCCCCCAAGCCT